AGCATTCCAAAGATTGCCCTGTTATTTGCTAAGGTACACATCAACACTAAGTTCATACTGAAAGCAGGAGGGTTCTAATACATTGTTTATACTTAATGCACACTCTCTGGCTACCCTGAGTTCTGCTTACTCTGTTCTGAAACTGGACAAAGTATCAGACAATTCATTTTTGAAAATATTCTCTGTTGATTTAGTGTATGCCTGGAACTTGTTACTGACAACAGAACCCTGTTTGTTACTGTACTAGATTGGCTTCACAACTGATACCACATCAATCACATCTGTATTAGTGTATACAACTCTTAAGCTAATAGTATTATTGAATGCTGCTACTTCAACATACAGGAAGCTCTCATGAAGGCTGCCAAAGGGAATGAACTACAATAGTATGAACACACACATTCTGTCTTTTGGTTGGATCAGATCATGATCTGTTACACAACTGGCATGTCCCCTTATTTTATTGTCCATAGTGTTGAACCACTTCTCTCATTCAATATTACAGAAGCAACATATCTTGCCCCAGCACCAGACAAACTCATAATAACAATGGAACTCATTACAACTCAAGCATGTCAACTACAGAAACGTCCAGCCAACCTTCAAGCTATCACAGAATGCATTCATACAGACCAGATCACTTTGCTCTGACAATTTGAAGAAACACACAAACACTCAATCAAAGATTTTAACTTTGAACCTGGTCAACTTGTCCTCATATGTAACTCCAAATCATGAATGGATCTTGGACAAAAAACCAAGCCACACTATCTCAGACTGTACATAGTAGTCTGTCATACACAAGGAGAATCCTATATTGTAGCTGAACTCAATAGATTGGTCTCCTGTCTTTGTATTACAGTGTTCTGCTTGGTTCTGTACTTTGCCCACACTATGCTCTCAATTCCAGTTACACATCTTGTTGAAAACTTTGGTCCAGCTAATGAAATCAACAACACTGACAACCTGCCACTGTCAGACAAGCCTTCTGAGAACTCCAACTCTGACTAAAGGCTGATTGTGGTCAACCACTATAGACTTATGTGTTCCTTACTTTCTTGAATTTGCCTTTTTCTATTAACCCTTTATAATATTCTAGACAATGTTCTGATCCTGTTCCACTCTATCTTCTGTTTTTCCTTGATTTTGCTTTTAACTAATTGTAGATTATAGTTAGACTTACACTTTGAACCTACATGGTTTTCCCTGTAGTATGTTTTTTCCCACTAGGTTTTTTGTACACAGGTTTTCATCCAGTGGCCCTTAGACCACTTTTGCATTTCTTCAGTCACAACAGCCTCAAAGTCATGTATTGAGAGCTTTGTTCTGTTCTGTTCTGTTTTGTTCTGTTCTTGTTCCATTCTTGTACTGTTCTTGTTCTATTTTGGTTCTGTTTCTTTTTCTGTTTCTTTTTTGGTTTTGTTCTGTTCTTGTTCTGTTCTTGTTCTGTTAGTTTGCCTTACTTTCAGTATGCATATGGCCTTGCCTCTGTTGTTTACCTATCAATGCTGAGTCACTCTTATTACCTTACAATTATCACACTCATGCTTTAGTAACATTACACATTACTATAAACATACAGAAAATACTATTCAAAACTATAGAGGGGGGATTATATTTGGCTGCTTCTACAGACAGCTTTTACATTGACTGTCTCACCTATACTGGTTCAGTTGTTCTGAACAGAATGTCTAATTCTGTCCATCCTTCTGTCCATCCTTCTGTCCATCCTTCTAACACCTTGCCTTTACACCTATCCTAGCCTGTAGCTGCTCTACATCCTGTATTGTTGTATCCAACATTGTACAATAGGTAGCCACCTGCCTTCTGAGGACACAAAGCTTGTGTTTGAGCTCTAGATCCTCTTGGAACTCACTGTTGTCTGATGAGTGTTCTAAGAGTTCACCTAGAAGAATGTTGTCTTCAAAAGCTATTAGTATTGATCTTAGAACAACTTACCCAGATCCTCCAGACACACTCTTGACAGTCCAGCCACAGGGTACAGGTTTGTCACTATTGTCCTCCCCCACCTCAACCTTACATCCCTTACCACCTTACCAGTCTTTGTAAGAGAGTAACAGATCTTGCTCTTCTTACATACTGTGTATACAATTGTCTCACTATACTCTTGAATGCATACTATGTGCTGACAGATACAGCTGCTACACCTCTGACTCATCAAAGGTGTCAGGCTACTGTCTGGCACTGACTCTGGCACTAGAGAACTGTTCCAGAACCACAACTTGACCTGCCTGTTTTCAACCTCCTCTACTACCTAGTCTGTCTTGTGGAAGTCTGATTCATACAACACAGAATGCCTCCTGCCTGAATATATGTAATCCACATCTAGATCAAGTGACTAGTAGTAGTCAGTTGAATCATTAACAAGTAAAGAAGGGACTATATACTGCTCAAGTTGTCCTCCTTATCATTCTGACAGTCTGGTAGCACTCCTTACTACTCACAAAGGAGTGTGTCCAACCTCTTGTTATCTAGTGTTTGATCTTGCTTGTGTGCTCAGTATGCAGACAACTCACACTCCAGCTCAGAACCCTACAGAACATCTGGTTCACTCATAGGAGCACCTGTCTCAGCATCCTGGACAGTACACCTAACCACATTAGACAGCCTTAGAACTACAACCTCTACTACCTACTTTGTTAGAGGAGCAACATGTAAAGGCCAGAGCCTCACTCAAGAACACAGAACAGGCAAAGACCTGGGATTGGAGAGGTTGACCTAAGTACAGGAGCAAGTACGAAGATAATCTCTAAGTGTCTACAAATAGCCCTTTATATACTTAACTAAAGTCATGTGTGTAACCTCAGAGGTTACACTCTTCCCTACTCTGAAGAAAGTAAAAGGGGGGGGGGGTAGGAAGTGATTAATGGAGAGACAAAGGAAAGGATATAGTAAAGGGGGGGGGAGGTGAAATACAAAAGGGTAAGGACAGACAATAAGGAACACACAGTCACGAGTTTAAGAAGGCTTCAACTCGTCAAAAAGGTAGGGAAGGATTAATGAAGAGGCAAGGGAAGTATAGTAAGAGGGAACACATAGTCACCAGCCTAGGAAGGCTTCGACTCGTCAATGAAACGTATGGGGACAAGGACTTTCGACAGAGTCGGTGGAATGGTATCCCGAGACGGATGCAAGTTGAAGC